GATCTCCTGGCAAAAGAGATGCACTTGCTGTGTTATGAAAGCTGTCCCTTTAAAACCATGTTTGGTTAGCACCTATGCCCTGTTGAAATTGGCATAGACAATTCCGAGTGGGAACAATGCCAGCACAACAGATGGGAGTGAATGCAGGCATGCCAGAGAACCAGTATGTTCATCAAGTCTGAATATTAGGGACAGAGTCCTTTCCAAGAATTCAGAAACAGCAGGCTGTCCACAGTTTCTGTACTTTAGGTACAGAATATAAGAATATATGATCTCTCTTGTAACTAGGAGCAAAATTAATTACAGTCATTTAAGAATAGCTCATCTGAGCCATGTAAAGCGTAACAGTAGTGAGCTGAATTAGAACAACTTTTTCTCCAGGTTCAGACTGGCACCAGGTCCTAAAGTACCAAACCTGTGCACTGGATCAAAATGATTCCATTGGTTTTCTGCTAAGGGGTTCAGATTGAAGAGCTTTCAGATTATAATGAATATTCTTCATTTATACAGTGTCTTTCAGGCACTGATCCCAAAGTAATTTGCAAGTGTATGAGAATTTAAACTCATAGTTGGAAGGTTTACAATTTACAATTAAGCAAATGAATCTTGCATGTATTAAAGGACTGTAGTCCCATCTTCCCTTCTACCAGGGATTATAAACTGGAACTCTACTCTGCAGAGAGGGTGAAGGAAGGCAAAATCCTTCTGCCACAATCCTGGCAGATAAATGTGTACCCTGCTTTTGCTGTTTACATGGCACAAATAGACATAACAGATCAGGTACCCAAAACACTTATTTAATCTCCAAACAGGAATTCATAATTCCTATGTTTTTTGAGCATCAGATAGCTACCTTTCATATTTCTCTTTTCAAACTGTGAACAGTATATTGCCCAAAAAGACTTGCCTAGTATAATTTACATAATTCTGAGAAACAGAAAGAACAAAAAAATCTTAACAAAATAGCATAGGTACGATTGTTTAAAAACTATGAATCTGGCATTGCAATTCCCCTGCACAAAAAGGCTGTGCTTTCAGAAGAGCTGGCTAATAAAACATCCCTCCATTTTGGGTTTTCTTCAACTTCAGCAACCAAAATGTATGGACACTTTTGGAAACAATGGCTCGACTATGGCCCAAGTCTTGGCTGTCTGAGCTGTTCTCTGGATCTGTGTTTAATCAGAAAGTGTCTCTCATATGAAAGGTGTAGTAATAGGGTTGCTGACGTGTTCTAACCACAGCAGCTCATGGTGTCAACTTACAGCCGGACTTCGTTTTCTGTTACAAAGGTTTTTTTAATACTACTAGTAGGAATAAAAAAAATTGTTGAATTTATTTTCCTTTAATCCAGAGATATTCTGTAAACTAGAAATCTGCATGTGTGTTATTAACCAACTGACTAACAATTTCAGATTATCAGCTGTTTTTTGCAACATAGCAAAGAGGAAGCCTGAACCAGCCTTGGGAAATACACGAGACATCTGAGTAAGACACTTTAATTAAGGGTGCTTATCTTGTAAAGTAATTCATTAAGAGGTACTCTCCTTTCAGTGGTTCTGAATTTTCTGCTTATTTTTTAGACCAAATTTTTTAGACCACTTATAGTTTTTGCTGAGATACAAAATTAATTTTAAAAATACTGGATAATCTTCCACCTTGTGATACATAAAAAGGTTTCTACACAAGGGTGGCTCTATACATATTTACATATTACACTGTTGTATAGCACCCCGAAGCTAACCAGCAGAATCTGAATGCTGGACAATAGGGCTTGTTACCAGAGCAAGAGCAGCTCCACCAGTCTTCTGGCAAGGCTGCCTTGGAGCATAGATGTCATTTTCCACCAGAATCCCACAGCTGGCATGAAGGATGAGAACACTTCTTTTCCACACTGAATTTCTGCTGTAGCAGGATGGTTTTCCTCTTGACAACATCCAATTTAGATGGATAATGCAGACTCTATGTATATAATTATTGTGCCACTTAAAACAGATATTAAAGACCCAAGAGTCACATTACACGGATTATAAGGATTTTCAATTTTAATTGCATTCCTGGTCTCAGCAGCATTAGCATACTTTCAGAAACTTGCAAAGTATGAACACAGTATGATGTACATGGTTAAAACCATCCATTTCTAAGACTCGAGTGTTAAAATAATCAGTAGACTGTTGAGAAGAATGCTCTACAGCCTAAATTAACCCTACTCGTTAGCTGCCTTCTGCTCTGTACTGAAAGGACTTGTTGAGACTAAAATTAACTGAATTTTTAGCAAAAAAACAGATTGGGTACATACTCTGGGGAACAAAGATCACTAAAGAAAGATTCTCCCTTTCCCCTGTAAAGGAGAAGTTCCTAATGATAAGAAAAAACTTTTATAATCTGCTTTGCTATAAAGCATCACTTCCAATCCAGCCAACTCAGTAATTAAAACTCCCAATATCCCTTATACCAAGATTTGCCAACTACTAATAATAAGGTAAACAGATATTAAGACTGTGTTACCTAGAGAATTTCTACTTACAGCAGAGCCATCTAATAATAGTTTCACTCCTTCTTCCCAGGGCTACATTGGTTTAAATATTCTGAAGCATATAAATTCTGCTCTATATACCTTCTTCCACATGTCATTGCTCCAGTTATCTGAGAAGACCTATGCAGTCCTGAATGAGAATATTTAACCACACAGTTATGAATGGAAGAAGCAGGAGTGCAAGATACTCTCAGCACTGAAACAAGGCCCAGGCTGTGAAAAACACTGACTTTGTAAATCAGTATCAATCAATGCTCTGCAAAGTACGTCATAAATCTGGAAGTTCTAGAGAGCTAACCCTGAGGCAGTAATACCACTTCATGTTTTAAAACATTTCACAAACATTAGGACAATCTCAGGAGGCCTTTGATCTGATTTCATCCTTTGGGGCTCTTCCAACAATTAAGGGTTATTGGAATATATTGGTTCTCCAGACATATCTCCTCTTGAAAACAAATTTTAAAAAAACCCACTAGTTTCAGTCTATTACATGGTTTGTGGTAATAATCCTCTGCTGGGAGACAAAATTTAACCTGAAGGAATCGGCTTCAATATAGAAGGAGAAGTTTTTATTTAGGCTTTGGACAACAGGATTTCTCCCAGCTAGGCAAGATTTCTCTTTCAGCAAATACAGAACACACATTAATCTTTTATAAGTTGTTAATAATAGATGTTGAAGTCTGATGGACTCTGGTGCAAAGGACTCTGGACATATTAGTCTATTCAGCATTATAAGGGATTTCACTTGTTCAATTGAACCCATCTGAAATTGCCTAAATTCATCTGTACCTGGAGGAAAACTAACCCATACCTACCAGGCAGACATGCCAGTTTACAGGTATTGTGTCCAGTTTCCTTACCACCTGCTTTCTGGACAGCAAAGCAAATAGCTATAGGGCCTGACAGATCTCTTTAAGAAGTCATGGGAAAAATGCCATTTGTATGCAACATCTGTTCTGCTGATACTCATTTGTTGTGAAAATCCCAGTCTGATCTGTGTAGATAGCAATTCATTTCAGGGTTGCCAAGTGAAACTGCCTGTCACTGTAAGACTGATCCATGATCCTTATGTACCTAGGACATGAGGTCCTCAGCAGCAAAGATGAAACAGACATCTTTATGGTCTTAGGGGAAGTCTTCAAAAGGCTTAGGAAATCTGGGATTATTTTCTCTTTCCTTTCTAGGAAAGGAGAAGACCACACAAGCCAACAACAGCTAGCAGTCAATTGCTGTTCTTACTGGCCTGACATAAACCTGGCTCAGTAATGGGGAGCTGTGTGAGAGAAACAGAGCAGGTCTTTAGGCACCAGGTTCTACTTAAAGAGCTGCACTGTATCTTCTTTGCCAGAGGCAAAACAGGGAGGAAACCTCCTCTGGCAGCTTTGGCTACTGCCTACAGGCATAACTAGTCCTGTCTGAAAGTGACATTTGGAAAACTGGGAATCTAACAGATTTGGGAAGTTTAAGATATAATTCCAAGTAGAATAGACTTTCAGAAATGTGATGAGCAATTAGAAATCACACCACTCTTTGGTGCACTGATGCACTTTCTTGGGGACCAGCAGCAGGTCAACAAGACAGGAAACAGCACGAGATGAACAGAAGCCTTTATTTTATGAAGATCTGTTTGAATTAAGGTGAACATGGTCCCCGGAGATCAATAACTGCTCTCCTAACTCCTCCTGAAAGCGACAGCTGAGTTGCATGTAAAATACAGTATCAGCTGTTATGCCTTAAAAGCAACAATAAACAAGTGTCTAATGGTGGGTTTGACGTTCAGATCAAACAGCTCATGAATACATTTTTTGCAAAACATTCCAGGATGAGAATCATGACAGAAAAGGGCCCTTTCTTCATGAAAGAAGAGGGTTTCCATTTCACACTTTTTTTTAAATCCATGTGACCATGAATTGTAATCCATTTCAAGCCTGGAGGTCCAGGCCTCTGGGTTCCCAAGAAGACAATATGCCTCTAGCTGCTGTGCTTCCAGGAACAGGTAAATCTCTGTGTTGCCAACATCCTGCTTGCTGCTACACTTCCTAAGGGAAGTGCTGTTCATGAACAGCACACTTTGTATGTTAGAACCAGAAGTGCATCCACATTTGCTTTCTAGTTTTATCCACAGTGCTGGAAATACTTGTTATCACAACAGCATGTAGACTGATTTATTTTTTTTTAAAGTGAAAAGTTCTGCTTAACCATTAAAGGGTTTTGCCATGGATACTTATTCTTTACTTAGTGTTTGTCTGTACAAGAACTGCTACATAGGCACTGCAGATGTGCCCAGTCACCTCAGTTCCCAAACAACGTAAGACATGGAGAACAAAAAAAATAAAAATTAGCAACCAATCAGCAGCTTATCACCTCTTCACCATCAGACCTACAACTGAGCACAACCCCACTGTACCTAAGGATCAGAAAACACTCCAGGGTAGGTTATAAAAGCAACATTACTGTTCACATTAGTATGCAGCTGCTCCAAGTGCCTATTGATCCTGTTGGCTGGTGGGTGCTCAAGCTGCTGATACAGCAGATGTCTCAGCTGTGTGGCACCTGTGGCTTCATCAGCAACATCAATAGTCCATGGTTTGCAGGAGGCCAGCAGCTAACTCCCAAGACACTGAGCCACGTTCCCAACCCTCGATTTAATGTACATATGCGCTCGCTTGTCCAGTTTGTAGTATATTGACCATGTTAGAATTTATTTTAGTTACAGTGTGTAAAATAAAAATTTTGCAACAACTTGAAAGTTTCTCTATGTTTTACCCAAAACACAGGTTTTTCTGCATATTTCCTAGCTGATGCTAATACTCCTGACAGTGGTAAATGACTCTTAAAATAATTATCCCCCGTATCACGTGAAAAACCTTCAAGTACATGCAAGTGACTGAAACATCTAGGGAGCGCGGGCTCAGCTCTGTAATTACAATCTTGTTTCAACTAAACTTGACTAAAATGTATTTGTTCATGACTTGGGTGCAAACCGGCCCCTCCAGGGGCGCTCTGAACAGCCCAGGTACCTCAGCTGCGCCCCGTTTCTCTCAGGGAATCTAGAGAACAGCCGGAGCAGTCTCGGTAAGACAGGAAGGCGGCCGGAGTGGGGGGATCGCTCTGCCTCGCGCCCTCCTCCCGCCCCGCTCCCCGCCCGCAGGACGCTGGCCC